CGAATCATCATGGACTATGTAATGCAATCAGATTATTTTGTTCCTAGACATCCTTGAATTACACCAAAGAACCTGAAATTTAGTTTTGGTTAAATTATTTATTTATTTCATGCATTCATTTTATCTCCCTTTTTAAGGTCTGGATGAGACGTCTTTGGGGAGCCTCTAAAAACTCTTCACTGTGGGCCAAGTGGGGCATTAGAAGCCAGTGCACTTCTCCTCCAGGCTCCTTCTCAGTGCCTAGCAGTGCTGCAGGGACCATAGATCCAGCCAGGGGCTTCCCTAAAGCAGTGCAGAGCTGGCCCAGGGTGCCACTAGGCAGGCCCTAATTAAGTTTAAAAAAAAAAAAAAAGCCTATCTATTTATTTTAGAATCATGTCTCTCTGTATATTAACTTGGAAAATATCAGTTAATATTTAGGATATAAGATTTGAGGCCAGCCATCTTCAGAAAAAGAAAAGCCAAAAAAAAAAAGTCCTGACTGAAGAAAGTACAAATAAACTATACATCTTTTTTCATGAATTTTAGGAACTGTAGTAATGTGGCTTAGAAAGTGTAATGGCCTAAATGTTTGCAAAATGTAAGTTCCTGTGGAGAATTCTGTTTATATGGGGGGAAAACCTATAGGTTTAAAATAGTATGTTTGTCAGCCAACTGATTTTAAAAGGCCTTTGTTTTTTTTAACCCACCCTTCCCTTCCTATGAGGAAGAATTGAGGGGGGACACTTACTTGTGTAAAATCCCCAAATTGGTGTTGATGACTTTTCAGCTTGGAGGTTTTCAGACCTGATTAAAACTTGGTTTATTCTAATTTCTGTATCATATCATCATCTGAGGTTTAAGTGGTAACTAGTCTTATAACATGTATGTATCATATGTTTGTTCATCTAAAGCTTTTTAATCCAAATAAAAATGGAGTTTGCAAAGTGATTTGGATTAACCAGATTTGGTTGTTCTGTTAAAGTTGTGTTAGATGTTAGTTGCAAGTAGATTTAACTCCTGCAAGCCCTGATTTCATGCTGACAAGGATATGGCTGCCAATTTAAAAGAAGAAAGCTCCTCAGATAGAGATGAAACTCAGTGTCCAGACCCCTGGTTCAGGGCTCAGGCTGCATTAAGAGATGCCAAATGTAGTCAGACTGCAGCCTGATGTGCCCTACACCACACTGCTCAGGCTGGCAGTCAGAGAATTCCTAACATGTCCTCAGGATGGGCAGAAATGCAAGTTGAAGTTAAAATTAAAGAGAGCATTGCATTACTGAGGGCAGATGGTGAGGAAAGCATGTCCTCTATCGTAAAGCAGTATAACCCACTTCAAATAGCTTGTCTGTGGCCAGAAAAGACAGATGTGTTTTTAACATGTTTATAAGTTCTTAAAACATAACCACACTTTTAATAGAAAGTGTTGGTAAAATCAACCAACTGTTTTCCTCTGACATCACTTTGCAAATCCCTGTGGCTCTGTTCTCCTCAAAGTTTAAGACTGTACTACCATCTATGCTCATGAGCATACTTTGAACGATCATTGATATATAAACATCCCAGCTGAACACCATGAGCAAACAAATACTGCTAAGTATTACTCTGTTCCTTTTTACTTTGGAAGTATGCTAGGTCAGCTGAATGAAAGTTCACAACCAAATTAATAGTCTGTTCCTTTCCCTGTTTGGGGTATTTTGTGGTATTTATGTCTTGTGGATTGCACATAAATGTGACAAGAAACTGCAAGTTTAATACACTTGTGAAGCGTGAAGACTAAGCACTGATACTCCTTTACTAGGAAAGAAGTTGCTTCAGAAAACACCATGATCCAAGAGCGTGTGTGTGCATGTGTGTATACACACACACAACACCTTTTTTTTTTTGAGACATGGTCAGCTCTATCACCCAGGCTGGAGTGCAGTGGTCCAGTCGTACTCACTGCAACTTCCAACTCCTGGGCTCAAGCAATCCTCCTGCCTCAGCCTCCCAAAGTGCTGGGATTACAGGCATGAGCCACCACACCTGACCCAAGAGTATATTTTTTAAAGTACAGTAACTCAGTGTGAAAAATTCAAACATTACACACAAAAAGAGCTAAGTATAACATTAGAGATTTAGGTAAGACTTCCAAGATAGAACTGCTAGATGGACAAAAATAACCTTCATTTATCATTGATCACATGCCTGACTTAGGTATTTTCCCTATAAATTCAGATGATAAAGTAATGCTCCAAGGCTCATGTTCTTTCCCCAGCATCACAGTAGAGTTTTAGCAATAAATGTCAATTAGGTTTTCATCAATCTGGAATAAGTGCTGTAGTTTTTGAAATTTAAGTTATTAAAAATTTTTGCTTTGTAGTGTTACACTAGGGGGCACTGTGATTCTGTAATCAGCATGTAAGAGCACTGCAGTTCTTTTCCCTTTAAAAGCTTGCACCTTGGTTAACAAAGATGAATTTTTACTCATAGCATCCAAACTAATGTACTCTGAAAATATGTCTTCCACTGAATATAATAATTGCTAGACTATTTGCCTTAAAGTCAGAAGTCCTTAATTTTCAAAAGTTTAGTGTCCTTCAATAAATCAACACTCTAATGGAAAGAAAAAGAAAGAAAGAAAAGAAATGAAGAGGAAACCCCTAGGGAAAGCTAATACAAACTTCAGGCTAATGGTTCTCTCAGGGGTAGAGGCAGGGGGATGGGCCAGGGAATGAACCCACAGCAGACACAGAAATTGGCTAATGGTTTTATTAGTGTTTACTGTTATTCTTTGTAAAAGGTGTGTATGTGTGTTACTTATTCTCTTTAAAAATATTAAACTAAACTTCTAAATTTAGAAGTGGTGGGTGGGCAAGGGGGAACATATGGAATATGACCATGTAATTGAGAGAATCATACCACAGTTTTAATTTATTATGCAGCAGTCTAAGCACTAAAAATGCCTATAAAGTTAGTTAGGTTCACCATGAACTCTAGGTGACACAGCTGAGCATGAGAATACAATGAATCCCATTCTTCTCCCTGGTGGTATTGCTCATTACTGGCCTTCACATTCAAGCCATCTCCCAGCAGTGACTCTGGGCTTGCTGTAGGTAGTGAGTGCTTTAATGAGATCTGAGCAGTTAGTGATTCTTTTTTTTTTTTTTTTTTTT